TTTTTTTCCACCTCATTTGCACCTTTTTTAATGCACGAAATTCAGCCTATTGCGAAGATAGAATTTGGTGAATCGCCATATGGTTCAACGTCAGCACTAGCGCCTGCTACTCCTCCAGTTCCACTGCAAGCACCCCCTGCCGGTCCCCCTTCTGTGGTGGATGGGTACCGAACCTTGCGCGGAAGTGCGTCCTCGTCGAACCAGCAGAGTCAAGGAGCTCTTAGGTAATTTTGATTTTCTCCGTTTTCTTTTTAAAAATCTTCGAACCGACTGCCCATTCTTCTCATAATCTCATTCACTGAAATCATTTGCAAACGTTTGCAAAGGTGTAGTCCTCATACCAAAATTCTGCGATATTTGTAATGTTAACGTTTGTTACAGGTCTTTCACACAACTAGCTGGTACTCCTCCTCCTCCAAATAGCAGTCAAGGACCGCCTCAACAACAGATTCGTCCCATGGTGGTAGCAGCTGGTGGTAGACAGCTGCCTGTCGGTAGAGCCACTGCACAACCAAGAGTCAACGTTACCAATATATATAGGTAATTGGAAACCTTGAAGTAAAATTCTACGAGAGCTTTCTATGAACTTGCTTTAGCCCATATGCATCTTGCTCGTCTGACCCAGAAACGGAAAAGAAACAAGCTCATGCTGAAGTTGGTGACGTTCATGACAACCCAGCTGCCTTACGAGTAAGTAATTGTTCTAATTTGGTTTGCGCTTTAAGTCAATACTAGTTAAAACATTCTCATAGTATAACTGTTCATAACATATCACTTCATAGCCTTCAAATTCAACCGAGGAGTTGAACGCTCAGATGGAGAACTTGGATACGATGATAGACGATCTACAAGCGCTCCAACACGAATTTGGAGTGGTTTCTTGATACTTCAAACAGTAGGACTGTAATGGTGATTCTTCCTCGGTGTGCCGTAACACATGATTTTGTACACATTGATATTTCTATAATTTATTCAATTTTCAAGATTTAACATTCCTGTGTAACCTCTCGAAGTACGTCGATCTAGCATTCAAATGTCTTTTTGAAGAGCTTTCAGGGCATTAGTTTTGAGATCCTTGCCGCTTACATTTTAGTCATCTTTCTGTAGTAATTGAAATACGTACTCTAAATTCGTCGTTTCTGAGGCTCAACACTTCAATTTGATATTTTGATTTTTCTCATTGAATATCTTCTTTTCACTTTAAACTTCATACCTTCTGTATTTTTCGCATATCTTCTCAAATTGTTCACACTTTGTTTAGTGCTTTTAGACGTGCTATTCCCAAAGGTCTCCGCTTAGCTAACGTGTATGCTATTTTAATCACAGTATTTGTACCCACGAAGGGTTTTGCACACAACTGGTATATTACAGTATTCAGCATTCACGATATGTCGCTCAGTTCTTGAATTACAACCGTTTCTAATAGTATGTCTGATAATCCCTATAAACATCCTGTGCAAGAAATCCCAGTTTCATATCAAATAACTGACTTTATACTTTATTTGTTACCTAACGGAAAATGCAAAACGGAGACCTATGTTAACAAAAACAAACTTAAAATGTAGAGAAGCCAAGTGTACCTTTGTCTTTCCAAAACATATGGTTCAAATTGAAGTAAGATCTTGTCACAACCAGGATCAAAGTTTCTGCTTGGCATACATCATTTAGTAGAAACAAAAAATAATACTGTAAGAAGCTAATATTGGGAAGTTATGCTTCGTTGTATTTTAATAGAGAAGTAACAGCGACGTTGGATATTAGCTCTCTGCCACGAAGTGGTAAGAGTTCTATAAGAACAAAAGCTTCAGCAACTTCTGCCTGAGCTTTTCCAACAACTTCAACAGCAGCCTAAAAAGGAATTTTATGTTGGAAAACAATTTCTACTAACTAGATCTCAAACCAGAAATTTTTTTCTAAAACTGACGAACAATTAAGAAAGTCGGTCCACTATTACTCGCTGAAAAATTTCCAATAAAATACCGTAATTTTCCCGAATGAAGCCAGACACTTTGAGATCCACAAATTGCCTCAAAGTAGTGAAGCATACCTTTAACGTGCCTCCAGTAGCTAGCAAGTCATCAACTAGAACTACTTTCCAACCAGCTTGGAGGGCATCTTTTTGAATCTCAACAACATCCTAGAGATAAAAGGAGCCAAAGAGTAAAATTAGGGAAAGTAAAGAAAATAAAGTGTTTGCCTCGCCATATTCCTTCATGTAAGATGCTTGGATACATTCACCTGGTAGTTTACCTTTCTTTCGAATTGGAACAAAAGGTACTTGTAGGAAGACCGCAACAATGGGGCCAAACAAAAAACCTAAACAGTTTCGATGTGATTGAGTATTATATGGATACTCTTCAAAATCAATACCCTAAATCATTAACGAGTACCCCGTGCTTCGAGGCCAGCTATAGCATCGACATCACCAACGTCGCTGCGTATGTGCTCCGCGATTGCAGCACAAAGATCTTTCACTAGTGAAGGATTGGCGAACAAAGGCATGATGTCCCTGCATTTATGCACGATCAATTTTGGAATTAAAGTATACTAGTTGGTTCTTCTTGCGTGCCTATACCTATTTATTAGTAATGCAAAACATGGAAATTTTACTACATCAAGTAACTCCATTACCTATTTTAGAATCGAGAAAGGAGCAACTTGTGAAGATTTTACAATGTCTACTGCTACACTACGGGTAACTGCCATTTTATGCGAAAAAGTGCCCATTTTGCCGATTTATTCATTTTTAGAGTTTTTTTTT